AAGACCACAATAAAAACTTATGTTTTTTCTTCTATGCAATTAAAACTTTTGTAGAAAGACAGATGCCACAACACCAGAGCAATCCACCTCTCAATTAGTGTAACATTGTCACACTAGCCCAAGACTCACAACCGAATAGAAAAAAGAAGAAGAACCAAAATGATGTGGAAGAAAAACTAATCTTTCATTAAATGATGAAAAATAGGGTACACAAAGGCATTACAATCTTGACACCCCAAATTAACCTTAACATATATGACCTAGGGGTACACAAAGGCATTACAATCTCAACACACAAGATTAACCTTAATACTTGTGACTCTAATTTTCTCACCACACACGTCTCTTTAAATAGATGTCCTTACAACCATATTTCCTCTAATAACTACCCACTTGCAACAATAACTACTAACCACCTAGTAGTTTTATAACTTCTTATTAAAGAAACTTACAAGTACAACCTCACTACATTATTTGATAAAATAAAATAAAAGCTAATATAATTTCTAGAAAATACACTTTAACAATTTTAACACTCCCTCTTAAAGTGAACTTTCTAGATAGGAGATCATGACTGGCTCTTAAGTGTGATGCAATCATCTCCATCACTTACTGAAATCGAAAATCTGACCATTTGACAAGCCGTCAAGGAGACTCTCAAATTCCACCAAGGATGGCTGCATAGCCTCCCTTGATTAGAGATAATATTGGGAATATACTCCCTCTTTAACCCAATTGTTTTATTCGTGTCGCTGAAATAGGTTCTTTCATAACAACATGAAATCTCCAAACAAAGATTCATGATCTTTGAGAATAATTTGGAAATAGAAATATTGCCTTGAGTTGAGTTCCTAACTCAACACTAAAACCATTCAACCTTTCACCCGGATCCATCTTAAAAAACGACAACCAATCTTCTTCACCAGGGGAATCAAGACACATCACCACCACTCTTGTGGCTTTGATACCATGTATAGAAAAACCGATGCCACAAGACCGGAACAATGCGCTTCTCAATTAGTGTAACACTGTCACACTAGCCCAAGATTCACAACCAAATAGAAAGAAGAAGAACAACCAAAATGAGGTAGAAGAAAAACTAATCTTTCAATCAAAGATGAAAAATGGGATACACAAAGGCATTACAATCTTGACACCCAAGAGTAACCTTAACACATGTGACCCAGGAGTACACAAAGGCATTACAATCTCAGCACACAAAATTAACCATAAGACATGTGACCCCAATTTTCCCACCACACATCTCTTTTTAAATAGAGGTTCCTACAACCATATTTCCCACTTGCAACAACAACTACTAATCACCTAATAGTTTTATAACTTCCTACTATACAAACTTACAAGTGCAACCTCACTACATTACTCAAAATAAAATAAAAACTAATATGATTTCTAAAAAATACACTTTAACAATTTTAACAACTTTAAGCCTCAGTGTCAGTTTGTAATGCACATATGCCCTTTTCAAATATATAATTAAACAATATATTCATTTAAAATAAATTCTACATTTATATGGACTTCTTTGAAATAAATTAGATATACTTTAAGCCGGTAACACAACATAATGCCAAAATAAAAATGACATATTGTACTACTACAATATTAATTAAAAATAATCGCACAATATAATCTAGCATTATCATAATAAAGAACTTGCAGTTTATAATTTTTAAACAATCTAATGCATATATCCTTTTAACTCTATAATGAAACAATATATCATGTTTAAATAATGAACAAATTCATGCAAGCAACATAACAGCAAGACTTACTTGCTAATAACAGCAAGACTTACTTGCTAGTTCTTCCTTCTATATTTCTTTGCTTGTAGAATTCATTTGTCATTGATTAAACAAAAGTATGTCACATATTCATTGTATGAGATAGTGGATGTAATTAACAAGGTGTCTATAGATACTTTTTAACTGCTCGATCCCCAAAAATAAAATAAAGCTCTGCTCATGGATATTCTTTGGCAAAGTGATTGATGAAGTTCTTTTAAATTTGTTCCGTATTCTTCGCGCATTTTAACTTAAAATCACCCTAACAATTCCCATGCATACACATAATTTTCTAGGGTGCTGATGAGCTTCATCTTTGTTGGTGAGAAATATTGAATTTAGGCATCACCTGAGTGCATAAACTAGGCTGTTTCACTTGATAAATGTTTTTCCTCGAGTATTCTTTTATTTTAGTTCCTTCTCCTTTTAATTTATGTTAGCTTAGCTTTAGCTTGAATTTTCATAATTGCCATAGGTTTTACATGAGGAAAAAGTTTATATAAGGTTGCAACTTTAAAATGTAGGATTATAGATGCATATCAAAAATCCATATAAAAATATTGTTTTAATATTGAAGAACCCTCTAATTGATCATCTCAACATCGAGATGTCTGAATATGAAAAAAAAAATTAAAATTTTGAGTTTCAGAAGTAGTGGATCTTGCAACACATTATCTAGACCGTCCATTTTCAAGATTTTCACTAGTTTATAGATCTACTTGATTTTAACCATTTTTGGAGTTTAAAATTTTATAATTGGATGTGAAAATAGATTTTGAGATAATCCTAGGAATTTTTTACTCCAAAATTACATGTTATGATAAAATTTGGAGGTGCGCCTTAATTGGATAGTTTAAGGTTGCAACCTTATAGAAACCACACCCTTTACATAATTACTGAAGTTTACATTCTGAAAATAAATATAAATGAAAATTTTGGAATTGTAGTTGCATTTTGTGGTTCGCACATGTAGAATAACGGTCTCAACTTGAGGGAGAATTCATCGAAACGGCATCAACACACTATATTGAAGTGAGTTTCTTATCTGAAGAGAAAAGGGAAAAGTGGCTCCCATGCTAGCGCAAACATGGAAGTTGTCTGTGATATTTATATATATTATTTCTTTATGCTTTTGGTGAATGCTGTTGGCTGAAATCTTTCTTTTATTGTTTTTGCCTTTTTAGTTATCGAACTATCTACATGCGTCTCCTCTACGCCAAAGCTTACCTTATCAAAATTCCTACCCTCAACCATCTGTATTTCTTTGGAGGCCATGGACTATAAAAAGTGACTGTTCACAAAAAAAGAAAAATACAAAAAAAAAAAGTGCAAAAACAAGAATACTTAGTCACATTCTACAAGACTATAATGAAGTTATTCAACTTTCACATGCCACCCACAGATTTAAGCTTTAGGAAAATGCTTATATAAGATATCAGCCTTATACTATTGAAAAGTAAGGTGCACCGCAAATATCTTTTAGAATATAGTGTCCTGATGTTGAAAAACCTTCCTATATTGTCATCTCGACTTTAATAGGCATGGATATGAAAAAAAGAATAAATTTCAAGTACTCAAAATAGCATTTTGTATCAAATTATCTGGACCATCTATTTTCAAGATTTTCTGGTGTTTATAAATATGTTTGGTCTGCACTATTTTTGAAATTTTAAATTTTATAATGATAGCTTAGTTATAAATTTTCAAATTATTGTAAGGTTTTTGAAACCGGTATTACATTCTAGACAAAATTTAAAGGTGCACCTCACTACAATATAAAATGAGCACCTTATACAAACCTCACCCTGAAGCGAGCTTGTTAAATTTATTACATTTTTCTAGTTCTAATTACCCGATTTGACCTTGGAATCGTTGGGTACCCATCCCAGTTCCTCGACAGTATTAGGAATGGTTCTCTAACAAGACGAACCAATTTTATTAGGGAACCAAGCTATCTAGGCCAACTAGACGGCCAGGTACCTACTTTCTTTATTTTTCAATTTTCAATTTATTTAAATCTTTTGTCACCCAAATCTCTCGGCCGGATAGCAGATCTACGTCGACAATTTACCTATTCGGACCGATTTCTCGGGGGCCAATTCACTCAACTAATCTGAGTTTTTTAAATTGGACAAGCTTTTTATGCTTCCCCTACAACATAGAAGTTCTATACTCCCCCTTATCCAACTGTCCATTCTAAATGGAGGGCTAAGATTGCCCCAATCACAATGTCACGTCTCTACACTATTTTATTTTTAATTTTTTTCTAGAAACTATTTTGACACCAAATTTTGGATGTCCATTCCTCTATTAAACTCGCACTAGTGAAAAATATAAAAAAAATATTTTCAATAAAATAAAATGACTAAATACCCCTGAAACTTTCAATGGGTATTTTGATCATTATATTTTATCAAAAAATTATTTTTAATATTTTTTATAGGTGCATCCCAATGAGAAGATGACACGTACCAAATTTCATATTCATACAATTTGTATAAAAAAAAACTAAAAATAAAATTTTTGAGACATCGGATCTAAGATCAAACGGTGAGTGACTCTCTTGATCAAAATTGGACGGCTGGATGGTAGGGGGAGGATAAAACTTCTATGCTGTAGGGGAAGTATAGAAACCTTTCCCTTGTAACCTTGTTTGTGATAAAAAATTCAGGAGAGAGAAGACGGATACTGATCAAATTCAATTCGGAATGCTACAAAATTTTGTATGTTGAACTAGCTTCATTGGTGCATGAAGTATTAGAGTGATTCTCTACATTTAAAACCTCTGATAATGATAAAAAAATTGTCCTCTGAGAAAACAAATTGTTAGAGATTAAGAAGCCTATTGTAACATAATTTTCAAATTAGCAATAGAACAATCCTCCTTCCTCTGGTGGATAGAGTTCGTCCTTGTCAAGTTAGTTTGGAGCGCTTCTTGTAGTCCAAGCAGTGTTACATCGACACGGACATAGGTGTCGTATCTAGTAAGTCCACCCAAAAACCCAGTCTGGTATTAACCCGGGAGTAACTCCTATGGCAACCTAGGGGCAAAGCTGTAATTTGTGGAGGGCCCATCCATATCCTTTTTGGGTAAGGAGATTCTTTGCTTGCAAACCCAGCACACATGCGCATTACTACATTCTCTTTTTATCAATTCAGAGAGAGAGAGGGAGAGAGCAGTATATAAGGGTTGGGTTTGGCATTTGGGAATGGGAATGGGAATGGGAATGGAAGGAAACAGAGGTGTCATGGTTGAGAACGAAGGGGCGATGACAGGGGAAGCAGCGGCAACAACAATGGAGGAACAGTTGGAGATGGTGGCCAAGGCCTTTGTTGATCACTACTACAACACCTTTGACAACGGTCGTGCCTTATTAGGGCCCTTGTATGCGGCCACGTCTTTGCTTTCCTTTGAGGGGCAGATGGTGAAGGGGGTGGCAGACATTGTGCAAAAGCTCACCCAGCTGCCGTTCGATCAATGCCGCCACCACATCTCCACCATTGATTCCCAGCCCTCTGGCCCGGCCGGGGGAATTCTAGTGTTTGTCAGTGGGAACCTCCAACTTCCTGGCGAGGAGCACCACCTTCGGTTCAGCCAGGTCCGTCTATATGTTCATGTGCACGTGCACATCCGCATGCGTGAGAGAGTTTTTGTTTTTCGCTTTTTAATTATGAAAATATAGAAAACTACCGTCCATGCCATTTCTCTGTGGCATCTCTTTTATTATGATTTAATTATTTGATTTTTTTTGTTGGTGCAGATGTTTCACTTAATTCCTACCCCCCCAGGGAGCTTCTTTGTGCAAAATGACATTTTTCGCCTCAATTATGGTTGACCAAATTGAATCATTCATGTGCTGCTTGTATTCAGGAACTGGACTTGGACTTAAGGGGTTAGCAATTCAGGTCAAGCAACACTGTATCTAAAGTTCTATTCCTACCACTGAAATATCAAAAAAAAAAAAAAATGTGTTGCCTGTATTGTATTTTTGTTGCTTTTCTAATAAAGAGGATGGTTAGGATTTCGCCCTTCAACTGAGAGAAATCTTCTCCATTGATTCATATGGCTTTCCATATTTCATGTTTACATATTTTTGCCAATGGTGTATGAACCATTTTACCCTTAGCAACTTGAATTGAGTGCCTGGATTTGGAGGATCACTTATGACAGAAATCTTAGTCTTCGATCACTATCTATCTTCCATGGGATGTCAAATAGGAAGCCTTAATCCATTTAATAGACGGTCGAGATCTTTTCTCGGCCCTGCCTAAACCGTACCCCCCGTTCAGGCTGGATCAGGGATCATGGCCCCGCCCAGCCTTGCTTTTTTCTTATTACTTTAAAAATAATAAAAATAAATCAATATGGGCCAAACCCCATTAACAGAGCCCAGACTGGCCGTGTAAAGTCAGGCCAGGGGCAAGGCCCGTTTGGACCTGCATGGTCTCTAGGGTCCTGTCCCGCCGCACTTCCAACCTTTGGAAGAAAGCATGGAGGAATCTCTACAAAGAGAGAGAGAGGAATAAATTCCAAAGTCACAAAAAGAGTAAACTGGTTTGAATACGTACATTCCAACTAAATAAAGATAAAGTGGATGTTTTTTTATTCCTTTCATCAATTCCATTTCGTTGTTTTTCATCATTGGAAATATATTTATTTATAATCTTTTTTTGTTGATTCAAGATTAATCTTGCTGTCAAAAGAAGAGCCCTTTAGATGGATTGAATTTTTCTATAAAAACAACATTTATTGCCTAGATTTTGGAAATTAACATAAATTTTGAAAGTTGTATGCAAGCATTTGGACTTGCAACTCCTCAACTGTAGATGTCAACAATGCACAGTTGTGGCATGTCTCCTCCAGCAAAGTGTTTCGTTAGAATTAAGCAGGAAAACAACGCATCTTGGTTGTTCGTTAGGGACATCGGATGGTTGGGGTCGTTCTAGCAAATTGTCTTAAACACATGCATACAAAGGCATAAGTTCGAGTCATGCAGGGTTTTCAGAAATTGCTGGGTTGATCCAGAGCCGTCCGAGTTGAGCAGGGACAAGCAGCTACCGAGTCCAAGCCACTCCTTGAATCGAGACTGGCCTAACGGCGTATAAATAATATTTTAAAAAAATTATTACAAAATTAATATTTTTCAAGATGATTTGGAGTTCCTTACCTTGTTTAAACGCAAAAGTTTTTATGTTTTTCTTAAATCATTATTTTGACGTTTTTCTTTAATATAGTTGACTTGATTCGTTAGAGTTCAAACCATAGTTACCGGGAGCGCCCCCAACTGGGTGGCGCTCCCTCTCTGGAATCCAGCTCCGGCATTTCATGACTTCGATCTCGATCGGAACTCGATTTAATTCTTTCAGGATATCGCTTCTAATTATAGGGTACTCGATCCTATGAACAAAGGACCTCGATCCCACCATTGCACGGTGCACATTCCTGAAGATTGTAAATTTCGTTCTCGAACAAGTAAGATCGTTGATCCTCGAATTTTAGGAGCGTGATCCCTTCGTTCACGGAACTCCATCCTTATAAGGATGTGGCCCCAAAATTTGTGTAATTTTGAATAAAATTATTTTACTAATTTATAACTTCCTAAAAGAAACTCCTTAAATAAATTTAACTTTTAAAATAAAAGAAGGTTGTGGTTTCTATAAGGTTGCAACTTAAACAATCCAATTAAGGCGCACCACCAAATTTTATCGTAACATGTAATTTTGGTGTAAATTTTTTTTAGGATTATCTTAAAATCCATTTTCATCTCTAATTATAAAATTTTAAACTCCAAAAATGGTTAAAATCAAGTAGATCTATAAACATATGAAAATCTTGAAAATGGATGGTCTAGATAATGTGTTGCAAGATGCACTATTTCTAAGACTCAAAATATTTTCTTTTTTCATGTTTATATATCTCGATGTCGAGATGATCAAAACAAACTTTTCCAATGGATTTTTGAGTTGCATATTTAATTCTACACTTTAAGGTTGCAACTTTATATAAACTTTTTTCATAAAGGAATTATATTTTAAGCCAAATTTTCATGCAATATTTCCAACCCAAAATAACAGTAACGCATTTCCTGAATTTTTTTCGAACGTAGCCAAACAGTAGCAATACATGCACAGGTTGCATCCAGATGGTACCCCAACAACAACAACATTCTATTTTCAGGTAATATATTACGCAGATAATGTATTACGCTAGTAATTTATTTCACAGGCAATACATTTCCGAGTACACAAACAGCCAACGTGACATCTATATGCATATCATGTATGAGATTTTGAACAACACTAGCATTAAGCATGTTAAGAATATAATTGTATAAAGCATTGAAAGAATTTATTTCATATAAGATTAATAAAATTTAATTAATCTATGGACATCTAGGATTAGTTGTGCATGGATCCCCCATGGGCCATTGCTACACAAGACAATGGTTTCTAGAATAAACCAAAACGACATCGCGATTATATGGGAATGGGCTACCGCGCTTAGTGGGAGCATGAATCCATGTCTAATGGAGTTGGGTTCTTGATACAAGTGGAGTTCTGCTATAGGAGAGTGGACAAATCATGCACGGAATGCGATCCGTCATTGAATGGAGTGTGCAATCCTTTCCAACTAAGAACGCAGTCATTCTTATATGAGGGCGGGACTCAACTTCAAATGGGGTCTCATTCCTGTTGTGGATGGGAGTGCGATCCCATTGAACATGGACCGCGTACCCGTTAAGTAAGGATCTAGATCTCGATGTATTGGGAACGCGCTCCCTCTTCATATGGAATCTGAATCCGTAACTTTTACCCTGACCAGAACTCACTCCCCGAGCTTCAGAGCTTTGAGCAGCCATCGATCCAATGCTTTTGCTCCCGGAACCCGAGCCGTTCTTGCTCCGCCTCCTGATAACTATGATTCAAACCGATTGATGACAAGTTCAACCCACCTGTTCATTTTTTAAAATACAGGATCCACGAAATAGACTTCCAAATTCCCCTCTAAGAGGAAGGAGTTCTGCGACATAAAGAGTCCATGGCCCTTTTAGATGTTATCTTGGTCTCTTGAATCATGTTTGGTTATTTTAAGGATTTGTTCTCAAAATCCACATTACACTAGTTTTGAAAATTTCTTAGGCCATGTTTTTTTCTAGCATTGTACTCGTAAATTTGGAAGTTGGAGAGGCATTAGGTGGTGTCCCATGTAGTGGGCGCACAAACAAATTTTCATGTGGAATAGCACATCCAACGATATGGGGAATAGGGTGCTTGATGTGAAGCCCTAC